CCCAGCACCACAAAAATAAATAAACAAGTAATTAATTAATTAAGCTTAAAATTTAAAAATAAATATTCTTTTCCAACTCCCCCAAGATATAAATACTTTCACCAACTCAGAAAGTTCCTTCTTAAAACTATCTAAGAAGTAACACCCATATATCCCCAATATCTGCACCTTCCCTTTTCCTGTCCCCCCTCCCACTCCCTCCCACTCCTAGCAACCACTGATGCTCTGATTTCTACTACAGTTTAGATTCTTCTGTTGTTGATCTTCATAAAAACAGTGTTTCCTTTCGTTTCTTTGGCTTAGGATGTTCTTGACATTCATATTGTTATGTGCATTTGTTCCAGTCTAGTATTCCATTGTATGGATATAACACATTTTATTTATCCATTTCTTGTTGGTGGATGTTTGGTTTGTTCCTAGTTTTTTGTTATTACAGATAAAGCTACCATGAACATTCTTGACCAAATAATTTTTTGTGACATCATTATCCAAAGTACATGTATGAAGACATGAATTGATGTGTGAACATACTTTATATACAGAGATATGAAAAATTGTTTTCTATATGTGTAATAAGAATTGTGATGAATTCCGCTATCATGTATTTAAAAAATAAAAGCAATTTTTAAAAAAAGAACTTTTTGTGGACATTTTTCATTTACCTTGGGAAAACAGGAATGAAATTGCTAGAGCATAGGAAAGGTTTATGTTTAATTTTATGGAGTACTTATACTTGATTATTATTAAAATTTATTCTTTATTAGTAATATTGGGATTGAACCCAGGGTCTTATGCATACTAGAGAAGTACTCTACCACTGATCTATACCCTTTGATTCTTTTTTAAAAAACATATTGTGGTAAAATACACATAAAATTTACTATCGTAACCACTTTTAACTGTACTGTTTAGTGGTACTCAGTACATTCAAAATGTTATACAACCATTACCACCATCCATCTCCAGAACTCTTTTTATTTTGCAAAACTTTAAAACTCTGTACCATTAGATAATAAGACTCACATTCCCTTACACTTTCTGTCTCTATAAATTTGACTAGGTAATCCTTCTCCTTACCTGCAGTTTGGCTTTCCATATCTTCACTTTCAGACCTTTTAGTTACCCATAGTCAACTCCAGTCCAAAAATATTAAATTGAAAATTCCAGAAATAAACAATTCATAAGTTTTAAATTGTGCTCTGTTTTAAGTAGTATAATGAAATCTTGCACTGTACTGCTCTGCCCTGGTAGGACATGAATCATGTCTTTGTCCGGCATATCCACACTATATAAGCTACCCATCCATTAATAATGTAGTGGACATCTTGGTTATCAGACTATCACAGTATCACAGTGCTTGTATTCACATAACTTTTATTTTACTTAATAATGTCAAGGATATAGAAAAATAATCTAATGGAAAAAAGAATAAGAAAACAGAAAAAAAATTAAAGAAAATAAAAGCAGAAATCAACGAATTAAGACATAACACTAATATATAAATGAAGAAGCAAGCTCTTTGAAAAAGATTAAAAAAAATCTAGTGAGGCTAAGAAAAAGAAAAGCTCAAACATTAGGAATGGGAGGAAAACATAAGCAGAGATACAGAGGAGAAAAGAGAAAATGCCACGAATAACTTAATACATTGAAAACTTAAATGGAAAATATTCAAAGAAAACTCAAAGATATTAAAATTAGTTTGATATGTAAAAAACAAAGATGAAATGGAAAAGTTGTCAAAGAACATCTAAAGTGACATTAGTCTCTTTCTTTTCAGATAAAATTTTTTAAACCCTCTCTAGATACAGGTAATATTTGTGCTTTTAAAAGCCTTTCAAAATACATATCACAATATGAAAATTTTCTAATTTTTATCTAACATATTGATATCTCAAAGAATTCTAGACCCCTAAAGTATAAAGAGAGATACCCAGTCTCATCCATTAATGACGGGCTAGAAACAAAGGTCAAGACTATGAGGATTCTGAGGTCTTCCACAAAGAAAAGAGGTGATCCCATAAAAGAAATAGAGGCATAGGCCAGTATGGTCATTACAGAAATGACACAAGGGGGAAAGCACTGAAATAGTTCAGGAAAGGGCTGTTGTCCTGGTCCCGCTGAATAATTCAAGATAACCATAACGTCTTCTGTAGGATCCACTTTCTTTACATTGTAAAGAAGTTGGAATAAATGATCTTTCTATGAACCATTTTTCTCTTTTTTAGTTCTTACTTCTATGGACCTTTTTAACAAATCCATAAATTCTGTTTCAGAGGGGTCATGGAAAACTTGGACTACAGTAGGTAATAAATTCTTTGGGATTGCTTTGAGTGTCCACCTGGCTCAAAACCTTCCAGAAAGTTTCCTCCTCTTAGGATTCCTTCCTTAGGATTGAGGGTCTAAGGCTATGGTATTATTCATCCCTTAAGAAGAATCATTCAGTCACAACTATGTTTTCCCATAAAGAAAATGAGTAATCAAAACTAGGACAAAGTAGATATACAAAAAGGACAGTCAAGATTCATGTGAGAAAATTTATTTGGATTTACTGCTGAATCTCCACTGCGCTAGTAGGCCTTCAATAAACAATTGTCAATTGATTGTTGAATTCAATACCCTCACATGGCTTCCAGGGGATTTTTTTCCCCTCCTGCAGTCCCTAATCATTCCTTCATTTTTCCCCTTTAAGTTAGTACAAGTTGGTTTCTTACAACCAGGAAGCCCCATCAAATACATTATTGGACTCTCCCCTTCATAACCACCACTCACTTCACTATGGGTATATGCCTGGCCTCTGAAAGGCATCATTAAGATTGGACTTCCATGGGGTCCTGCCCAGGAATATGTAATTGACACATTAAGAGAATGTGGCAGTGGCAGTGAAGTGTGGTAGTGATAGAAGCGAGGGAAATGTATGAAGGCTGACTAGTGATAAAAAGAAAGGCTGACTAGCAAAGTGGTAAAAAGAAAGGCAGGTGCAGAGAGAGAAGACAATGGTAGTCCTGAAAGGTATCCCAGTATTTTCTTACTACATACAAAACATCCACCACCAAATTTGTGTGGCAAAATCCTGATTCTCAATGTGATGACATTAAGAGGTGAGGTCTTGGGAAGCATTTAGGTCAAAAGGATGGAGTCCCCACAATGGGATTAGTGCTCTTATAAAGACTTGAGAGCTTTTTAAAAACATTTCTTTAGTTGTAGATGGACAATGCCTTTATTTATTTTTATGTGGTGCTGAGAATTGAACTCAGTACCTCACACATGCTAGGCAAACACTCTACAACTGACCCACAACCTGGGCTGACAACAGCTTATTTTCTCTTTTCCTGCTCTCCACCACGTGAGAATACAATGCAAAGATGTATCTTTGGTCATCTGTACACCAGAGGAAGTATTCACTCACCAGACATGGATCAGAGGGCACCTTGATCTTTAACTTCCCACTCTTCAGAACTGTGAGATGTTACTTAAGCCACCTATACCATGGTAATTTTTTACAATATGAACTGAGACATCTCTTTTTAACAAAGTCTCCCCACCGCCCCCTTAATTTTCCCTTCCCTTGGTCAAAACAAATGCAAACTTTTGAGTGACATTCATTATTATTATTATTATTACCTCCACTTTGTTTATCCATTTTTATGCAGTGCTGAGGATCAAACCCAGTGGCTCCCAGACAAGTGCTCCACCGCTGAGCCACAACCCCAGCCTCACATTCATTATTTTGATTATGGTGATTTTATGCACTTTTGTGTATGTCAAACCTAATCAAATTTTAAACGTGTGGCTTCTTATATTTCAATTGCACATCAAAAAAGTTGTAAAAATATGAGAATTTAATAACCAAATTTCATCAGTAACGTTATAACTACCAGTAATGTACCAACAATGGTAAATTTAAAGAAGCCCCTTTTATGAATGCTATTTTGGATTTAACTAGTAGTACTTATTTATTCTATTGCCTTCCTCCCTCCTCTATCCCCAATTCCCATGCCCCACCTAGCCCTTGAGCAAGCAAATAACTATAATAGTGTCATAGTCAAGTTGATGAATTCTAATTCACAATAACTAAAATATATCAAAGTTCATACTTCTTTAAATTTATCCAGGTTTTTATCCAATGTGTTACTTGGAGAAATTAATTTACCACAAACCAGTGTTATTGCTTGTGTCAAAACTGTTGGGGTAAGGAGTATAGTTCAAGGGTAGGATCTATTCTTAGTATGCACATGGTCCTGGATTCAGTACCCAGCAATTAAAAGAAACAATTATCTACTTAGATTACAACCTCTTTTGAGGACAGAGCTAAATCATTTATCTTGATTCCCAAGTTGACAAGCAATGTCTGGTATAGAGCATAGTGAGGAGAGGGATAAAGAGTAAGATGTAACACAAGAGTAGGAAGAAAAAGGATGTGTGTGGGTACTGATTGTGCAGGAACTTGTAGGCCCTGATTAAGACTTTGGACATTTTTTTTTTAAACAAAGATGGGGTCTCTATGTTGTCCAAAGCTGGTCTTTTTCTATCTTTCTTTCTTTTGGGGGGATGTGGATTTAATCCAGGGGCATTTTAACTCTGAGCTACATCCCCAGCCTTTTTAATTTTTTAAATTTTGAGACAGGGTCTTACAAAGTTGCTGAGGTTGTCCTTGAACCTATTATCCTTTCTCAGCCACCCTGCCCCACCCAAATCGCTGAGATTATAGGTGCACCTGGCCTAAAGCTGGTCTTGAACTCCTGGACTGAAGCTATCGCTATCCCCCACTTCAGCCTCCAGAGCAGCTGAGATTACAGGCATGTGCCACTATGCCCAGTTAAGACCTTGGATTTTATGGGTTGTGATATGAAGTCAAGAAGAGGGTTTTAAGCATTGAATGGATATTGTCGAACTTCTATTTTAAAATAAGATCATTCTGGTGGCTGTGGTGAAGAACCTGTATGAAGGAAATATGGAAGCCGAATAGCTACCAATGAATATACCAAAAGGAACATGTTCACTAAAAGACACAAAAATTTTCATAGCAACTTTATTCATAATAACCACAAATTGGAAACAATCCAAATTTCCATCAGCATTAGAATAGATAAATTGTAGTAGAGTCATACAATGGAATACAACACAAAGTAAAAATGAATTGCTTCTACTACATCCACATGGATTACCCTCACAAACATGTTGAACAAAGACACGAAAGAGTGCATATAATTATTCCACTTATATAGTTTTTAAACAGGTAAAGCTAACTGATGGTGATACAGGTCAGAATAGCAGTTATCTGTATGTGAGAAAGGCATAAGGACACCTACTGGGGTGACAGAAATATTTTCTATCATGATCTGGGTGGTACATTCAAACATACACTTAATTTTTGTCAACTTTCAAGTTTTACATCAATAAAAAGGCAAAATTATATTGAAAAAATTGTATAAATGGAGAAATATAATCATGTTAATCAGTAGTGTTATCTTCCAAATATTTCTGGCTTTCCTCCCTTGTTGGGGAAGGATTATGCTCCTAGGACTGAGGTGTGGCTGTGTTACTTTAAGGGTCTACAAGTTATTTGCCAAACTTTTTTCACTTCCCAAATTGAGCAGCCACATCCCTGATGGTAACTGCTTTGTCAGCCTGAGTCCCAGAATGAGGAAAATAAAGAACAAGGATTAAGAAACTTTTTCTGTAAAGGGCCACAAAGTAAATATTTTAGGCTTTGTGGGACATATACTTGCTGTTGAAACTTTTCAACTCTGCCACTGTAAAACACAATCAGCCATAGAAAATATATAAATGGACAAGGCTGTACTCCAATAAAACTTTTAAAAAATAAATAAAACTATTAAAAAATAGTAAAAAAAAAAAAAAAAAAAAAAAGAGAGAGAGAGAGAGAAACATAAATCAGGATGGATTTTGACTATGTGCTGTAGTTTGCCAATCCCTTACCTAGAACAAAGTCCCTAGACAAGTTATTTGCAAGAGACAAGTTATTTGAAACCCTAAGATTTTGTAGCGGTTACTGAATACTGAACCCAATGGCCTAGTGATTAGTTGGCAGGCATTCAGGAAATTACTACTGGAGGATGAAAGAAATAACTTACACAGGGACAATTGCTATTAAGGAGAGGCCAAACTATTCCTGGAGATAAACTAGAAGGCTGATAATCTACCCTTTACTAAATAAAAAGAAAAACAAATTATTTTGTGGTTGATTTTGGCTGCATCTGACAAAATGTAGAGAAGAAATAACTCAGAAAAGAACTTGTCAGTTTACAGGCAGAAATGGAAAGAAATAGAATCATAAACTCAAATACTTACTGGGTAGAATGAAGCAACTTTTCAATTATAAGACAAAAGTGAAAAATCCTTTCACTTAAAGGTTGATTAAATAGTTCTACAGCAAGGATCAAATCACTGGATGACTGCCATATCTACTGTTAAGATCTCTGAATGAATTAATGTGACTCAGATTAAAAATCCAACTAAGAGTATAATGGTAGTTAATCCTGTAAATTAGAACAGTTTAAGGAAAAAGACTAAGGGTATGGCTCCCCTATTTAAGACTGAAGTCCTGTTACCCAGAAATTAAGTTCAGAGAGGCATGGAAATATGAAAGCAAAGAAATATAGCATATCTAAAAGTATGAATTAACTATACAGCACTTTTGGGTTATCTTCCTTGCAGAGGTGATAAGAACCTTATGCAGGTGGGAAAGCAAATGAACTGAATAACTAGTGACCAGAGGATGAAGTCATTCTTCTATTTTGTTAAATTTACTTACTTTTAAATTCCAGAAGAGCCAGAAATCATCTGTAAAGGAAAGTAGCAAAATAAATAGCATGCCATTTTCTCCTAGGGTTGATGCCTACAAAAGGAAAAATGGATATTAACTCTTATGTGGCATTATCTTTCTCTAATACTGAATGTAACTTTTTAATTACCGAAATTTAATCTTAGGTCAATCTAAAAAGCTGTCCAATCTTTTCTCTCTATATGTAGGTTCCTTTGGAAATCTGCCTTTAGAATAAAAGAAAAATAAGACTATATCATGAATGGATGTGATATTACACAGTGGATTTATGTGAGTACAGCTGGGTTTGAATCCTAATACTCACTGTTTACTAGGGAAAATTGCAATCTCAGTTTGTTTCCTTGACAACATTCACATTGTGAACCACATGCTAAGCACTGCACTAAATTCTAGGAATACAATAATGAGGTCCCTAGTCACAAAGAACTTAGTTTTATTGTTAATTTGCAATGTGTTTTACAACTACCTAGTGAACAGGTAGGGTGACTGTGAAGGTCAAATGCGACTGTGCTAGAGCTTCAAAGATTGTAAAACACTACACAAATATTTATTTATTCAAACATTTCTTAAAATGCCAGGCATTGTGCTAACTGCTAAAGATAAAATAGTGAGCAAGGTTTATATGGTCCCTGCCCTTGTAAAGCTTAGTCTAGCAGTGATCAATAACCAGTAATAAGAACTAAGTGTATGTAGGGAATTTAGTTCAGGGGAACTAGTCTAGAGGCATCAACAAAGGCTACCTAGATGAAGGTACATATAAACTGAGACCTGAAAGATAAATAAAAATTTATATTATATTCTAAGGGCAATGATTAAAGCATAGGACTGGCATGAACAGAATGACTCAGTTTTTGGCTTGGGTAAGGGCAATTGGATGGTTGGTAGTAGTAATTCTGTTTACTGAAGAAAAGAGGAACAATGAGCAGGAGGTTTGGGGTCAAGATCAATGATGTGTTTTGGTGCCTGTGAGGCAGCAAGGTGGATTTGTTAGCAATTAAATATATGACTTGGGAAAAATCCAGAAAAGAAATATGAATTTGGGAGTATTTGCATACAGGTGGTAACTGAAGCCATGGAAGGAGATGAGATTGGCTAGGGAGATGGAAGGGAGATAAGGCAAGGGAGAGTAGGTAGCCTTGAAAAAAACAATAAGAACAGATATTTAAGGGAAGAGGTGCCTACAAAGAAGACTAAGAAAGCATACCTGGAACTAAAATCTCCTCAATCTAAAGTAACAGTTCAAGGATGGTAAGGATATTGACAAGGACTTAGTGAGCTTGATAGAACAGTCTGAGTGGCAAAACAGAAAACAAGGAGAGCAAATTTTTCAAGAAACAAGTGGGAATGGGAGATATGGGGAAGTAATTGGTAAGGACACAAAGTTGTTTTTTTTTTTTTTTTTTTTAAATGGTACTTATTTCATCTATATGCACTGATACAACAGGAACAATAACAGCTATATATTTATAAAAGAAAAGACTGCCATGCAGCTACAGAATTACTTAATACAGAAAACAGTAAAATACACTTTTTTTTTTTTTAAATAAACAAGACTAGTTATAGCAAATTCTTTTTTGCTGAGGATCAATGTTAAAATCCTTGCTTTTATCTCTCCCCACTCAGTTACTATATGGTGCAAACTAATTTTAGTTATCACGTTAAGCAAAACATACTAGAACTTCACAAAATATACAAGATTTCAATATGTGAGGAACTGGGATTAGAAAGCAGAAGCGGCCTTCAAGTCTTACAAACTTTCTCACAAGTAATAAAGCATTTGCTGTGAAAGCAACACTCAAAAACTATCGGGAAATTACCGGTAGACTTATTTTTTTCAGTTTTTCACTGTCATCTTTTCAGATATTTGAGCTTATTCTTTGCTAATCAAAATCTCAACTTGATGTTATTAATATATAAGAGGTTTATCTGCCCTAAACTAATTGTGTATACTAGGAGAGAGCCCTTTAATCTGATTCAGAATTAATTACTGATTTACAAATGCTATTATGTGAGCTACTGGAACCTTTATTGCACCTTACCAGCTAACCTTGGAATACTGAAATTAGTCTCCCCATCAAGTATTCCATCAGTTTACCCAACTTGCCTGTCTAATTTTGCTTCTACCGGTAATTTGCCCTGTTTCTTGACATAAGATAATATGTACACTGGGGGTTTACGGGCAGGGAGAGATAATTCTTCATAATGCCAGGCTGTTGTATATACTGCAGGAGGGAGCGGTCTTTAGGTTGAAATGCCAGCAGAAACCCCCCCAGCAAATAAGACAACCAAAAAGGTGTCCCTTCACATTTCGTAGCATCCTCTAGAAGGGAGGGTTACTGCCTCTGATTGAGAAGCACTGAAACAATTTTGCTTCCTAGGCTCTAACAGCATCCATTAAGATAGCTTGTGCATCACTTCCTTCTAAATTCTTGGTTGTTTCCTGGTTCCTTAAATTTGCTGGATTAGAGACCACAGCATAAAGTGCTGCAATAGTTAAAGACTTAGTAGCACAAGTTTTCAAACTGTACTTGGGAATCTATGATATACAAGTTAAGTCCCGTTTTTAAATTAGTTTTATATATTGGACTTCAATGTGAGATTGCCTTGTCACAATTAACATAAGTTTAAAGTAACTATTTTAGCACAAGACAGATGTCTTACTAGAAATGAGGCAATACTATAATCTGTGAATAAGACCAATTCTTGAAATTTAAATATTTCTATTTGTGCACTGTCTTTACCAAACGTGTGAGATAGTCTTAAATTTTAGAATAAATCAATTTCCAGCAACTAGCAAAATCTGATATCATTTTAAAAGTTTCCTTTAAATAGGATTTCTTTATAAAGCGGTAACACGCACATAAAATAAGCTAAAATATCTCACACCTCCTCATCATGAAGTGCAAAAAGCTGTTTTTTTCCTCACCCTTTTGATAGGGCCAAACTGCTGTCTAGAGTAGGAAAAAGAATTGCTAACTAGCAATGGTTAAGATTCTATACTTACCAAAGTCCTTTGATAGGCAAGCTGATAAAACATCCCCCAGTTGTGAAAAATTCAGGGAAAACCCCCAGAAATTGGTTAAGTCTTATCTCCAAATTGCAGGAAGCCTCCTGAAATCAGCAACCTAAAAACAATTCTTGCTCCTTTGACTAAATTTTTTATTACTTCCTCTGTTAGTAATATCAGATTCACTGGGGTGAATGGGGGAAGGTAAGAGGAAGGAAATCTGGCAATATTTATTTCAGACTCAGAAATGTTTTAAAAATATAGTCTCAAAACATTTTGTTAGACAAAATACCTCCACTGTATGTTATGTTTTTCCTTTTTTGAACTCATGAACTTGCTATGTGAGTTTTTGCAAATTAGTTTAAACACTTAAGGGGTTGCTAACTTCAGACTACAGGAATCAAAATTTTAAAACTTCATTAAAATAAAAGTTAAATTTTTGGCATATATTCTCAGAACACCTTAAAAACAGACTTCTAATTCAACTAATGTTGTCAATATTAAACTCCTTAAAATCAATTATACCATAAAAGTAAAAGACAATGACTTTGCCATTAAACAAAGTTTTTTTAAAAAAGGTGGTATTCTATTGTTTCAGTCCCATGCTGCCATATGAAAAAAAAGGCAACTGTCAGGAGGTTCTGAATTGTGATTGATTTGGATGTCTTGTTTAGTAAGCTTGGTGTTTTCCAACAATCCAAATTAGAAAACTTGGGGGGAAAAAAAAAATCAAAACAGATTTTTGCTTCTGGTATTCTTTCAATGTTGTACTACAAAGGCTTATAGATTAGCTTCATTTATTCCTCTCACAAGATCATCCCAACTGGGAACCATTTCAGTTGTGGCAACCCGAAACAGGGCTTGAAGATGCTCATCTGTCAGTGGCTGGCTCAAAGTGTGTTGGTTTCGAGTCAGATAAGAAAAAGCCTTTTCACAGATTTGGTTACTATCGAACAAGGATGCCACCTTATAGGCAACCCCTTTGATAATTGGGTAAGATTCAGCAGGCAATCCAGCATAGAACTGTCCCAGGGTTTTGACTCTATATTCATTCCAAAGGCTAGTATTTGCCTGAAGTTTTGTCAGCTCCACTCTTACTGAAATAGGTGCATATTCGGGTTTAAAGTTAAATGGATTTGAAAAAAGTTCTAAGTCCTTTTTGATGAATCTTAGGTCCTTAAAATGTCTCTCAAAATCTTTCTGCAGACGAGAGATCACCATTTGATATCTGTCGGGATCAAATATTTTTTGATCTTCCTTATATTGCTGTTTAAGCTCATCAACAACTTCTTTGAAAGCAGGAAAGTCTGTTAGATTTTTTTCTTCAATATGTCTCTGAAATAAATTCAGCTTACTTTCAAAAGTACAAATATGGTCAAAGGCAGAAGCAGCAAAGACTTTACTAGTTTGCAATTCTTCACTGAGTTCTTGAAGGTAGTTCATAACATCCACCAAAAAGCCAAAGTCACAAAGCCATTGCTTGTCTGTGAAATGGACTGTTGTTGCCCCTACTGAAACCAAGAATGCTTCTATTTCTTTTCGTAATGAAAATATTAATTTTAAAGATTTCCCTCTTCTAAGCCAGTTGTTCAGACATCGTCCGTTAATCCTTTCACCATGCTCTGACTCAGATTCAGTTAGTAAAGACTGAAACTCCGGTCGCCTAACGCCTCTGGTCTTAATTAAAACTATCCATTCTGATATGGTATTTACGATCTGATTAATATCTATGTCATAAGAGCTCAACAGTTCCAAGTGAAGAAATCCTGAATAGTGGATAACATTCCAACAGTTGGGACTCACGGCCTTTTCTCTCATGTATGAGACCAGTCCTGAGTTCTCACCAATCATTCTCAAAGTGTGCGTCGTGGTCAGTCCAACCATTCGCTGCAAGCTAAGCCCTGCTCTCTGCAAAGACTCTAGAATGGCCGACATGAGTGCACCAACACTGAAGTGATGAGTCAGGTTGATTATGGTCAGAAGGTCTTCCTGCACCTCCAAATCATGGCCCACGCCACGAATAAAGACCAGGAGATAGTTCTCATAGGCCACAAAAGCCTGGTCGTCCAAGGCAAGAGAATAGGCTTTAAATTGTCTGGCTCGGTTAAAAAGCTGACAACGTAGATTACTGTCAATGCTCAGAATCCTCTGCCTTGTGATCTCTGGAGACAAATTAATTCTTTGCAAGACGCCTACATGCTCCGGCAGTACCTCTTTTAGCAATATCTCCATGCACTGGTGTACAAAGTCCCCCTCAGCCCAGCCGCGACCCTTCAAGGCCAACAGGCGACAGAGCCCGAGGCCTGCACGAGCAGCTTTCTCCTCTGGAGTGAGCAAGGTGCTCAACGACATGTCGCCCTGACGCAGACGCTCCACCAAGGCCGCGCGATCGCCCTCCGCCACATACCGCTCATAGTATTCGTGTTCCGCCTCGTAGTGGCGCCTGACGTCACGTTCGCGGGTAGAAGCGACAAGGCGGCGACAGACCAAGCACAGGGCCCCATCGCCCTCTGGAGGTTCCACCACCAAGTAACGCTGGGTCCATTCGGGCCGGAAAACAAGAGCCTCGTCGACTTCCATCTTGCTCCTTTTGGGCGTCATCCACATTCTGCCAGAGTACACAAGAACGGGATCAACCTCAGAGAGGCCGCAAAGTGAGGGGAGGAGCCCGACTAGCGGCAAGCAGCTCCAGCGCTCTGCGCCAGATCACCTCAGCAGCCGCACACCAGCCTTTGCCATGGAATCTCCGTTCCTATTGGCTGGAGATTTCGTAGTCCCTGTAGCTACGACCAACAAACCAATTGGAAGAGCGGACAGTGATTTCTAACGCGCAAGCGCACATCCTTCTAAGCGAGTGCGAGGCAGCCTTAGGAACAGACGAAGAGGCCCAGCAGCCCACGCAGTTGAGAAACTTGATTGGCATTCAAGCTGCCCAATCAACAGCTGCCACTACAGGGTGGTACAGGATGGTGTAAACCATAATTGAAGGAAGACCAAGGGCTTGAGGGACTGAAGTGATTGGCTGAAGGTACTTCCGGCGAGCATCTAGACGCGACTTGGGCCTCTCTGGCGCCAAAATGTCGCTTGTGGCGGGGGTTATTCGGCGGCTAGACGAGACAGTGGTGAATCGCATCGCGGCGGGGGAAGTTATTCAGCGTCCAGCAAATGCGATCAAAGAGATGATTGAAAACTGGTATGGAGGGAGTCGAGCCTGGTTCACTTAGATTCTACGACCTAACGGGCCGCTTCTCTGAATGGCGCGGACACGCCTCCGTGACGAGGGCGGAGGCGCATCCGTCGCAGGCCGGTGTCATTGGAAGCCGCTGAAATCCTGGGCGCGCGTGGGTCCCGCCTTTTCCTTTCCCGGGAACCGAGAATTTGTCCACTGCTCTCGCGATACCTAGATTCTAGGGCGTGTGGGGCGCCTGTAGCAGGGGTGTGTTCGGCATAGCTTTAGTGGTACCGTTAACTCAGAGAGCTACTTAAAATTATGCAGAAGATGCGAAATTAAGGATGTATAAAAATTTATCGTGGGAGAAAAAAATCTTCTTTCAGTGTATACCATGTTATCAGTTTCTTATTCAAGAAATCAAACGTGTTCAAAGGCACAATTGTTGAGTTTTATTAAAAATAAATCGTTGGGGGCTAAGGCTGTAGCTCGGTGGAGAGCTCGCAAGCACGTGTGAGGCACTGGGTTCGATCCTCAGCGCCATGTAAAATTCAGTGAATAAAACGCATTGTGTCCATCTACAGCTAAAAAATATTTTAAAAAAATAATAAATCATTGGAGTTTTAAGACAGGCTAATGGACGTTGGGCTTAACTTTGAATTCCCTTATTACCAAGTCAGTGGCCTCACTGCCTTTGACTTTTTGGAGAGGTGCTTTGAAGATGTCTGACTTATTAGGGCATCTGTTGATTCTAATGCTTAGCCCTGTCGCAAACATGGAGCAAAGATGTTAAAAAAATATGTGGAAAGAAAATTGGGCGTGAATTGTAAACCTTGCAAAAGACAAGGACCCAAAGACTATGTCATGTCCTTTGTATTAAAATCACTTGATGTTAATAAAGTCCATACATTATTAGAAAAGAAAAATCTTCTTTCTGGTGAAGAATGACAGATTTGTAGAGAGATTCATTGTAAAAACATAAATCATTCAGAGCGATGGGACTGAAAGAGCAGTGGGTCAGAAAGGACCTCAGAGGGAAAATAAGAAAATTGGTAGAAGAGACACACACAAAAAGAAACATGGAAGCTGGGGACGTGTTTTCATTTGATTTGTGGTGGTAGTATAAGTCGTTGTCTGGCTTTTGTTTCTATAGTGTTAGAATAAACAGAATAACTTAAAACCAATTATTGTACCTTGCCCAAATTCTGTATAACAAAACTAAACATACTAGTTCAGTGGCTTATAATTAATTCTGTAAGCAGAGATTTTATATGGAGTCCAGTTAGACTCTTTTTAATATATGTCATGATGGCTGATACAACGTCAATAAAGGGGCTCCTGAGAGAGGTCTTTAATGTTTAAATAACTTATTTTATTATTTCTGAATAAAGAATTTTCTGTGAGCAAGTCAATAACTTCTTTCTCATGCAGCTCCAGGCTGAATTTATTTTCTCTAATAGGTGCTTTGTGTGTATAAGCTACTCTCTGAAAGCGCGAAAGATTTATTGACTTCTTAAAGAACTTTCTGCCTTACCATTTTTTTCTTTACCATAGGTATGTTTTTCTTTTGTTTTGTTTTTGGTGGTACTGGGGATTGAACTCAGAGGCACCCTGCTACTAAGCTACATCCCTAACCTTTTTTGAGAGAGGGTCTCCCTAGTTACTCAGGCTGGCTTCAAACTTATGACCCCTCTGCCTTAACTTCTAAAGGAGTTGGGATTATGTGCCATCACACCTGACTATATGTTCTTAAAGAGAAGGGATAATGGAGAAAAACATTTAGAATTTTTAAAAATGACATTAGAATCACTTAGAAATCTGAATAAAATCGATAGTAAAATTAGTTGAGAAGAGAGAAAGATGTGTTTGCTGAAAGGTTCCTACTTCTGAATTTGACTTTTTCCCTAAAAGAATAGAAATAGTTCTGAATGACCTATTAGAAATGATGTTGTTCTTCTTTCTATCTTACACAGTATTTAAATTCATATGATGTAGACATGGAGTGTGTAAAACAAATGAAAAAACACATCACAAGCACTCTTTATTTGGAGTTCATTGTTATTGCTTGACATATATTGAAATATATGCAATAGAATAGTTGCAGACTGATAATCTATTTTCTGTTTGATTTGCCAGTTTAGATGCAAAATCCACGAGTATTCAAGTGGTTGTTAAAGAGGGGGGTCTGAAGTTGATTCAGATCCAAGACAATGGCACTGGAATCAGGGTAAGTAAGACCTCAGAAAAGCAGGATGTTTGTGTGCTTCGTGTCATATCTCTGCAGGAAAATGCAGAACCTTTCCCCTTACTGGAAACTTTAGGCTTTTGTAATTAGAAATTTTTGACTGAAGAATTCAATACAAACAATAATTATGTGTTCTATTTTGTGTTGTATATTGTTCAGTGGATACAGCAGTGAATAAAATAGACAAAAATCCTTTCTCATACTACAATGGGTATTTCCATTATAGTAATGGGAAACAAGCAGGTATAATAAGTAGTATGTCATATGGCATTAACTAAAGCAAGGGAAAGATAATGGGGGAGTGGGTAGGAATGCAACTTAAATAATTCAGGAAGGCTTTAGTATGCATATGATATTTAAGGAGAGATGTGGGTAGAGATCAAGGAATAAATCATGAAGTTATTCAAAGGATAAATCTTCTGGGCAGAAAGAACAGAAAAGACAAAGATCATGAGAGGAAGAATGCCTGGCATGTTTAAGGACCCACAAGGAAGCAAGTGTGTCTAAAGTAGGTTGAGCAAGGAGCTGAAGTCAGAGAGAGAACATGCTGGACCTTGTGGTACATAGTAAAATCTTTGGCTTTTTTTAGTGACTGTGGTATGATACTACTAGAGGTTTTAAGCAAAGTGTTATATGACTTGGTGGTTTTATAAAAAGTTCTTTGTTTGCCATGTGGGAAAATAGACTGCAGAAAGACAGGGCAGGAACAAGGAGGAGGCTCTTGCAACAATTCAGGAGGGTATATTAGTGCCTTGGATCAATTTGGCTATAGAAGAGATATAAGAAGCAATGTGATCCTGAGTTAATTATGAAGGCAAAGCTCTCAGAATTTGTGATTTTGGGTGTAAGAGAAAAATCAGGATTGAGTTAGGTTTTGGCCTGTATAAATGGTGAAAAAAATTGCCATTTACTGAATGGGAAAGATTATGGAAGAAACAGGTTTGGAGAAGATGGGAAGTTCATTTTGGCACACATTAAATTTAAGATTTTTCGGGCTGGGGATGTGGCTCAAGCGGTAGCGTGTTCGCCTGGCTTGCATGCGGCCCGGGTTCGATCCTCAGCACCACATACAAATAAAGATGTTGTGTCGGCCAAAAACTAAAAAATAAATATTAAAAAAAAAATTAAGATTTTTCTTTGTGTGAGGGTCTGAAATGCAGTGTATAGTTTGCAGGTAAAAATTTGGGAGTCGTCTGCATTTTGATACTGTTAAAAAGCATAAGACTAGGGGCTGGGGTTGTGGCTCAGCAGTAGCGCGCTCACCTAGCACGTGCAAGGTGCTGGGTTTGATCCTCAGCACCACATAAAAATAAATAAATAAATAAAACAAAGGTATTGTGTTCAACTACAACTAAAAAGATATTTTTTTAAAAAAGCATAAGACTCACCTAAAAAGGTGCTCAGCGTTAGTGAGAAGGAAGTGCAAATACAAGCCACAGTGAGATACCATATCACACCCATTAGGATGACTGTTATCAAAATAATAATAAAATTATTGGCAAGAAGGTAGAGAAATTGGACTCCTTGTGGATTGCTGATGGAAATGTAAAATAGTGTAGCCACTATGAAAAATAGTATGGTGATTCCTCAAAAAATTAAACAGAATTGCCATATGTTTCAACAATTCCACTTCTGTTACACACAGAAAGTGAAAGCAAGAACTTGAACAAATATTTGTATGATCATGTTCATTGCAGCACTATTCACGATAGTTAACTGGTAAAAATTCAAGTGTCTATCAACAGACGAATGGATAAACAAGATGTGATACATATATACACACAATGGGATGATATTTAGCCTTAAATAAGAATAAAATTTTGACAAATGCTACAGTATGGATGAACCTTAAAGACACTATGTTAAGTGAAATAAATCAGTCATAAAAGAGCAAATATGTGATTCCTATTATAAGAGGTTTCTAGAATAGTCAAATGCATTAAACTCAAAGTAGAATGGTGGTTTCCAGGGATTGGGGGAAGATGAAGAATGGAGAGTTATTGATGATTGAGTACAGAGATTCAATTTGGGGAAGATGAAAAAGTTCTGGAGAGGTTTCTTAACACTGTGAATGAATCTATCACCACTGAACTGGATAATTAAAAATGGTTAAGATGAAAGTTTTATGTTAACATTTATTTAATTACAATTTAAAAAGTTGTAGATATTTAAAAGTTTTTCTAATTAAAAAAGTAGGCTATGAGACCGAATGAGATCATCAAGATAGTGAGTATAGATAAGGATGAGGTCCACGATTGAAATCCTGTGTTACTCCAGGGGTAGGAGGTGGAAAGAGCAAATGACACTGAAAAGGAACAGCCTAGTAAGAAAGTA